ATCCTTTCCTTATGTTTGCTCCCTGGTTCATAACACTGGTTGTGTCTCAGGACTGAATTTCAGCCTAAATTTCATGCATTATTCTCTTTTCACAAAAGTGCTGCTGACACAATGTACACATTAGGGCATGAATAGTTCTGAATATTTTTGAAGAACATAATAAAAGACGTTTTCAAAGGAAGGAGAAATAAACACATCAAGCCCTTTTTTTAATATGCCTGTGAATCTGTGGCATTTGCAAACAGAGCAATGACCCAACGAAATCTACATTTGGAGCCAAGTAGTGTTGATATAGGATTTTCTAGGCACAGCAGACAACAGAGCACTTTGCAAGCACAAGTGTGTTTGCCTTTGTACCTCTGTGTGTGTGTTGGAGCCAGAAAGAAGGAGCCAGACACCTCAGGGAGTTTGCAACCTCTTGTGTTAGAGCTGAATACCCTCTAACTTCAGGGTGTCTTTATTTTTAAACTACAAAATCACAGGATCACTAAGGCTGGAAAAAACCTCTGAGATCATTGAGTCCAACCCGTGACCTAACACCACCATGTCCACAAGACCATGGCACAAAGTGCTGCCTCCAGTCCCTCCTTAAAGACCCCCATGGGCAGCACATTCCAATGTCACAGACTCTAAGCGAGTCTGTGCACTGCAAAACAGTGAGATTTACTTACCAGTATATGAGTTAAGAAACTGATATGATTTCTCACCTATAGATCTTTCCTCATCACATGTTACTCTGCTGTAGGTATCAATGTAGGAAAATTGCTGTGGAAATGATTCAGGGGCTTCAAAGAGTGAGATAGAATTTTATTTTTTCAAATAGAAAATTCCTGTGGAAATGATTCAGGGGCTTTAAAGAGTGAGACAGAATTTTATTTTTTCAAATAGAAAATTGCTCACATCGAGCCCATTTAGACACAGATAACACATTCCAGCACATCACATTATACCCCAAGACGACGGCGCCAAGAACTTAAAAATGAACAAACCTATTATAAGTTAGCGAGTCAATTCACAGAAAAGACTGAGCAGCAAGAAACTCGTGACCAAACCAGTGTTTAAATACATTTCTAATACAAGCCAACCATACCAAATCCACCTGTGAACAGTGCACATAGTTTCTCTGTATTTTTTCCTCCTCTACTCTCACGATACACAAAGACCTGCTTTAAATGATTTTAGAGTTTAGGATTTTCTAAATGGCTTGCACGGTTTATGTTTTGATCTAATCTTGTGAGGTACTTAATATCAGACAGGGTAACAGTATCCTGACAGGTTTTTCCACCCAAGAGCAGACACAGGTTTGGTGGACCATGTGCTACAACCACACAGCATCCAGAAAAATGATGTAACTGGAGGTTTCTGCTGAATCCTCCTGTGCAAAGTACTAAGAATTTTGCTTTTAAAATTTTGACAAATACCTTCAAAATATTATGACGCTTTTTCTACAGAAAATTGTGATAGATGTTCTAGACTGTCTTGTTCTACAGGATCACATGAGGCTGTTGGGAGCAGTGTTAAGATCCAGAAATTTTCTCAGCAAAACTGGAGATATCAGCAATCTGAAGTAATAGAGTTAGTGTAAAAAAACCAAACACTGCAATCCATCTCAATAAAAACATCATCTGAAGATCAGGTATGCTTAGCCTGTGACTGGCAGATGAAAAAATGGTAATTTTGGAACACATTCAAGGATTTTTCTATGTCTTGTCACTGTGATGAAAGACAAATTATATGTTAAAGCCCCATGTGCTGTGGTTTAGGGTATCCCTTCAAGCTATGGTAGCTGAGGACATGGTTTAAAAATCTTAATTCATATTTTATTGCTAATTGTTTACCAGACTGATGAATGCTATGCACTGCAGACAGCTTATCTGCACACAGCTCTTAGCAATACACTTTTTCAAGTCAAAATCAGAGACAACATCCAAGCTGCAAAACGTAATCAGACACTCTCATCCTCTTTGAACAGCCTAATAAATAAACATAAATACATAAATACTGCAGAACAAGAGTGTTGTCCTTGCACCAATAGAGGTCTCTTGTTTACCTGTGGCCAGTAGTAAAAACTTGGTTTTATCTTTAGAAAGGGTATTTCATATTTTTTGCAATACAGCAAAATAAAGCCTGAAGGTAATTCCTAACCTACTGTGACAGGACCCAGTGTGTCTGTTACCCTGTAAGTACCTCCCAATAGGCTTTTTCAGCTTAAAGCTTTTGTAACAGAAATGCTTTGGCTGTACCATAGGCAAACGCTGCAAATTAGCACCACTGAGAACATCAAATCTTCCCAGAGCACGAGGTAAAAGGAGACTCAAATATAAACAGTCTTCCAGTTTCTCCTTGTTGTTTTCAGTTTGACAATCCAGTCCAGCACACACACAACAGGGAACACTACCAACCTTAACTGAAGAATTATCACTGACATAAGAAAATACTTAAATGAGGAGAATCTCTGCACAACCCTTTTTCCAATAGCTGCAAATGTATGTATGAAAAGACAGGAGACAGTTCCTTTAAGCAAAAAAATAAAGCATATATTCTTAAGCAGCAAGATAAATGTCATTTAAATATACCCATAATATTGTCCACCAAATGCTGATATTACAAACTCACTGTTTTTTGCAGTCCCTTGAGGAAATATTCCCAGGGAGATATCTAACTGCAATACCACTCATCACACCCTGAGATACAACTTGGGATGCATTCATGCAGGTAAAAAGTCTACCCTAGCAAAGTCTACCCTATAAATACCAACTTGGTCTGGATTACTATTTTTAAATTACCTTTTATCGTATTTTAAAGACCTTAATCTCTGACATACAAAAACATTTTTGAGCTTGTAAGAGCTTTAAGGGTAGTCACCCCTTTGATAATCCCTTATCATTTTACAAAATGTAGGGATTTAATATTGCTTTCACTTGTTCAAAGATACACAGTGCAATAAAACTTACAAATACCTGAAAAATTAATTTTTGACATTGCATTTACAGTAGTTTTAGTGAGTGCTTATATGTAGTCATTAGTCAAATGACTCTTCCTCCACCAAAAATAAAAAATAATCCCTTTTTTATATATGAGATGCTTGTTTTCTGACAGTTGACCATGACTTGGCTATGCCAAACAGATGGAATGTGTTGCTGTCTCAAAAATACTAAGTGATGCCATCATGTTCCTCAAAACTCTACTCTCAGCACTGAAATAAAATTCCAAGAGAACAGCAAAGGTCTGTTTTCCCTTTCATAGCCCCTGGTGCCCATCAGACAGGCAAATTCAGTCCAACCTGTGTCCCAGAGACCCTTTGAGCTGGCATGGCATGACTCACTCTGGTATCAGCAAAGGAACTACTTGAGAGCTTGCAGTAACAAAAAGACATGTTTCCCAAATAAGCTGATTTTAAATTTGAATCCCTTCATTTTTCAGAAGACTTTGACAAGATGTGTCTCCAGGATTGCCAGTACTGCTGAACTCATATCCGTTTGCCTGTGGCTGCTCAGATCCTGCTCAGCTGATAACCTCTGGATGATATGAGGTTTTCAAAGTGCTGGTCTTCTGCTTTTTCTTTCACTCTCTGCTCCTCCAAGGTGCACACGAGTTTATCCCTTTCTTCAACCACTTTCATCATCTCTGTAAAAATCTCATCCTCCTCATTCAGATCCTTCTCATTTTTAAGGCTGACTGAAAGATCACAAAACGAGGCTAAAATTAGATCACTGTTCACATTTTACCTGTTGGTGTACAGCTGAAAGCAGAGCTGTCAGAGAGCACAGGAGCCTCAGCCACTCTGATCCTTTCTGGAGCAGAGGGTTGCACACAGCCATGCTCTGTGTCCCTGTGGGCTGGGCACACTGTCTGCTTTGTCTTACCATCAATGGCCATTTTCTCTCTCAGCTTTTGTTCCAGCCTGCTTTGGTGGTCCTCCAGTTCTAGCTCTTGGGCTCTAGGTACAGCAAAAAGTATGTTAAAGAATAAGCTTTTTTTCCAGTAAAGATATGCAGGTTAATATTATTTCAACCAAGAGACTGCATGTTCTATTTATCCAGTGTTTTCTCCTCATGGCAGTAAAAGCTAAAAGGTTTGCCTGTGCCAGCATCACCACAGCCACTCCAGAAGGGCCACTACCAGCTCCTGCATTATGCATCAGGTTAAGCTCCCTCTACACTGCAATGCTTTAGCTTTTAACCATCTCTGCTCTGCTGGTGGCAGCTTTTGCTTTTCTAGCTGTTCTTCATAGACTGTGTGAGCAGGAAACGTTGCTACCACAACACCTAATGACACTTGGAGGGGCAAGAAAAGGTTTGGCCCCTGGCAGGGAATAG